GTGAGATAGGCCCCACGCTTTTCATCTATGTGATTTCATTCATTTCTCAAGATCTCCCCATGATGCCCTTACAGTTAACACCATTTTACAGATGCAAAGACTGACTCACAGAGAATCAGGGATTGCCTAATATGTACCCAGACAACTTTTTTGAACTTGGCTCTGTCTTGTGTTTTCTATATAGATCTGTGAACCAATGCCCACCTCCCCTCACCCTATCCCTACAAGGCTTCCATTCCTAATGGAACTTTTAAAATGTTATCTAAGAATTCACTTGCTAGCAAACTGAGAGCACTCAGCCTGAGGCTGTGGCAAACTTCAACCCTAAGTGGAGGACAGAGACTGAAATTTCAGGAAATCCTGGAAAAATTAGTAACCTGAGAACTTTGGAACTCACTGAAAATGCAAGAGATAGAAAAAAACAAAACCAAAGTTTCATTTTATTATTAGAAACTTGAAGAGATGAAAATATGATCTTTTCTGCCTCCCTGCTTCTAAAAATGTGACAAAAGTGTTTCATATTTCTACCGGCTATATTAGCAGAAGTGTCTCCAAATGTGTGTGGTCTCCTGGGAGTTCCAAGTTTTCAATCTTCCTTTTTGTTGTTCTTTGGCAGGAGAGTAGCCATGTGGTTTTGATATGGCCCACACTGTGTCCAAACAGAGCTATAACCCAGCGAGTCCGTCAAACCGTGTCTCCCACTCAATTCAGAGATGTCCTTTCCCACTTAACTGCTGGGTCTTTCCAAAAGACCTGGAAGATTCTAAGAATCTGCAACTCAGAGACCCCAGAGTTCACACTTCATCACTGGGAAAGAAGAGACCATAGAGTGCCCAAAGCAGTATTCTACCAATTCTTCCTTCTCTTCTCTGAGTCTTACCTGTGAAATGGGAAGACTTTTCTCACTTCATGGAGATTTGTGGGGAACAAAAAACATTGTAGTGTCTCATATGTAATGGACATTTAATAAAAGAAGCTAAGCCTATGACAATCTTTATCCACAATCAATTCAAGGGAAATACTAAGTCCAAAAGGCCATCCAATGAGGGCAGCTTCAGGTACACATTGGGAGATTCTCTTGAAGTCGTGACCACTATCAAATAGTGGCATTTCTACAGGATGTACTAGGTGGCAGCTACCCATGGTTCACTAAAAAGAGCCACATGACCACAGAGCAGGCTGATGGCAGGGACTTCTTTAAAAGTAGTTCAGTCCACTTTCAAGGGCAATGTAACTCAGACCAGTGCCCAGGTAGCCTGTGTCTGCATCCTTGGCTGTTTTTAAACCATAACCGCTACTACTATGCCCTTGTGCCGTGGAAACAAATGAGGTCTAAAACTCAGTCCATGGTCCATTCGGCAAGCTAGTCTCCCTGGTTAGAGAAAAGATTTGCCTCTTTTAAATACAGGCGATCAGGAGCTGGTGGTGACCGTGTGTTTCTCTGCAGTTGGTAAGGCTACAGTCCTTTCCTCCTTCTACTATCCTTTATCAAATCTCCTTCATTCATTATCTCACTAAGCCACAGTTCCCACCTGAAGGAGCCCCAAGTCTGATGGGGAGACAGACTCTGGAAGGGAATGGCTGCATAACAGGACGACACAGCAAGGTCAAGTGCTCCTGGAGAGAAAGAGGAACACCTGCCCAGATCATAGGGTTCTCTGGGGACAAGGCCCAGATGAGAAGAGTTCCTGAGAAGGATAAGGAAGTGCAACCGAATGAACACAGGGAGTGAAAGACAGGAGGCAAGAGGAAAGGCAGTCCAGGAGGAAGAAAGGAATCAAAGGAGTATTTTTAAAAAAGATGAGTTGGAAATAAAAGAATGAAGAAGAGCCCCACTTAGATGAAGAAGCTTTTTACTCTGTGTGTGTGTGTGTGTGTGTGTGTGTGTTCCTGCGTGTGACCCATGTGTCAGCGTGTGCTTCTGTCAGAGACACCCACGGAAGTTGGGTGCATTCTGTGCAAGGCATTGTGGGTCATATTATGAAACTGGCCTCTCTGAATTCTCACAGCCATTTCACAAGGTGATCCTTATCATTCCCATTTTATAACAATTTGGAACTCAAAGAGATAGAACACAATTGGTGAGGCTGATTTATGATGGAGCCCACACCGTCTCCAGCGCACCACAGGAAAGGCACGGTTATTCTTTATTGCTGGTCAATCAGTCTTCCTGTGACTCCTCCTCAGCCTCCCCCTGTGATAAGCTCTGCCTCAAGGTACAGCCCCCGGGTCTGGGAACTGGCCCGGAAAGGATTTCAAGCACCTGCTCCAGGTGAGGTTAAGTTGCTGGTGTGGAACCAAGGCTGCCGCTGGCACAGTGTCTGGAGAACATCTGAGGGACCACCTATCTCTCTCAGCCCAGGTATCTCAGGCCTGCCAGTCATGGTAATTAAACCAATCTAATCATGGAACCAAACTGGCGAGGATGATGAACAAAAACACTGAGATCCATATCCCTGGCAACTGTCAGGAAATCCAGTTAAGATGGAGCTGAGAGACTGACGTGGTGGTGCACACCTGTAGTCCCAGCACTCAGGAGGCTGTGACAAGAGAACCCAGAGTTCCAGGCCAGCCTTACTACAGAGAAAGACCCTGTCACAAAACAAACAAAAAAGTAAAGCTATGCCTACCACACTACATGCAGATAATTGGGGGACAAGGGAGGGGCTAAAAAAAGGAAATCGTATTTTAATATCCATCAACCTCATCTTCCTCTTAAGACCCTCCCTCAAGGGGGTCTAGAGAATTGAGCAGAAACCAGTCACCAATCTATTCTCTGTTTTCGTTTTCAGATTCTGGTTCGGGGGATGTGGCAGACATAGGAGACGGGAACATGCAAGCTATATGTCATTCAGAGAGCCATTTGCCTCGGGCCTTGGGGAGACCCAAGGTCAGGTCTGGCTGGGGCTTCTCCGCGGATGAATGGCTTGACCTCTGACATTGTACTCGTAGAGCTTTAATCAAATATGTTGCTGAAGCTGGACCACCACCACCACATGAGGTAGCTCCGGAAACCTAGAGGGATGTCGGGGAATACTGTGCAAGTCTTTAAGGAAGTAAAATGCATCAACGTCATCATATGAGCTTAGCGTTTAGGATAATAAAGCAGCACACAGAAAATGATGCGGATGATCGAGAGGTGGGAGGCGTTTATTCTTCCTTCCATCCAGCCATCTGAAAGGTTTTTTTAGATCTATATATTCCAGGTACAGAAATAAACGTAATATGGTTGCTAGCCCAGAGAGAATCTTTTATAGGCCATGAGAGGAGTTGAGTCTGTTTCTTTCCCTGTTTTAGATCCAGTACTTCACAACTGGTTAAGATTAACTAAATGAGCTACCTATTTTACCCAAGTCACGTGAACAGACATTGCCAATAAGGTAGGATAAAACCTGAGGGGGAGAGGGGGCCGAAGACCACACAGCCACACCCCGGAGCTCAAAATGAGAGGTACCTCTCCTGCTGGTGCCTCCCAAAACTCCCAAAAGAACACTGAACTGAGTGCTAGCGGAGAAGGTAAAAGAAGACCCTGAATAAAAGATAGGGGAAATAGACCAAAGCAAGTTTCTAGGGTCATAGACACTGTCCCACAAGCCATCTTTTATCTAGAAGGAGGCTTGGGAAGTCGGAGAGAATCTTACAGAGACACTGCGAGTGCAGCCACGTGAGGAACGTGTGCTTAAAATCTGCGTGAGCGCAGAGCTCCAAGGCCAGGAAGGGCGAGGAACTCGAGAATGACCTGCGGAGCCACTTTCTGGGCTGGGCGGGGCAATTGGATGAGGGATGCGCGGGGCGCATGTGCGCGCTGATTGCGTGTGTGTGTGTGTGTGTGTGTGTGTGTGTGTGTGTGTGTGTGTGTGTGTGTGTGTGTGTGTGTGTGTGTGTGTGTGTGTGTCTGTGTGTGTGTGTGTCTGTGTGTGTGTGTGTCTGTGTGTGTGTGTCTCTGTGTGTGTGTGTGTGTGTGTGTGTGTCTGTGTGTGTGTGTGTCTGTGTGTGTCTGTGTGCGTGCAGATAAAAGTCCTGCTGATGAACCTGACAAAGGCGAGAGCGCCTGCAGCCCAGCAGCCACCAAGCTCGTGTAGTCGGTCAATGATGCCCGAGTGGGGGGAGGGATCTTGGAACAACTCGCAGGGCCATACACGGCAAAAACTAAGCTGTCCCTGAAACAAAACTGAAACAGACGTGACTGAGGAAAGCCAAATATTTGTGAGATGATGTGAGCAGAGAGGAAAAGTCAATCCAGGCAAGTTTGAGTTTCTGGTTGGAGCCCTCAGAGGCTCTGATCACTGGATATTTTATGGGGACGTCCTTTGCCCCTGTTCTTCTTCTCTCCCGGAAGAAAAATAAATCCTTGGGAAAATGAGACTTGACAGCATGAAAAGAAGGTCTCCAGACTGGCCCAGCTGGTGCAGGCGGGGTCGGACCGAGATGCTGCTTGGAAACACTGTGGCAGCCCCTGGCTCAGTACTGTCACCCCTGAAATGTCCACCGCCTCTTGAGGCTCTTAACAGAGCAGGGACAGGTGTAGCGCCAAGGAACCTTTGCTTTTCTCTCTAGCACTTCCTACCAACTATGAATATAACTCCTGGTTTCTCTGCCTTACAGTGTTGCTCCTTGTGCCCCATCCAGACCCTCAAACCCCACCACCCCCAACCCATGTGTGTCAACTCCCCCTCATATTTTTCTAAGCCACAGCCTCACACAGCAAGGCCATATGGCTGGAACCCATAAATGCAAATGCAAGGAGACCCCAATACCTATTGGAAAAGATTACATTTCAATTAGCACATTTCAGCTACCATAAACCTGGATCCTGCCCCACCTTTTCTCCCTGCTCTGAGTGCCCTCCCCCAATCTGCTCACCCCCACCCATGTAAAACAGCCATAAAGCCTCTTTCCAATAGCCTCCACGGAGTTTATGCAACCCCCAGAACACAGGTTGATTGGAATGGTCTCTCTTCTGGATAACAACAATTCAATGTGCCTTGACATTTTAATAGCCTGGCGTCCTGGTGAACACAATCGAGCAAGGCAGTGAAGCAAAAATCATTAGGTAAGCAAGATAATCTAAGCAGAATCTGCTGCCTGCACGCTCACATCTGGGGGAAAGTTGCACAGCTGGGCCATCTACGAAGTGGGGCTCACCCTGTTCTGCAGTACCTTTATATGTGAGCACCAATACATGCACTCCTGTCACTAGACATGCCCCAGAGCACAGGTTTGGGAAGATAAACACAGGCAAGTGCAGAGTCACTGAGGTCCCAATATGAAATTGTATGAGAGAACACGATTTACAATGAACCAAAATACCTGCCACCTCACCAAACCACCACCAAAATAAGCTTAAGTGCTCAAAAGTGCGGGCTTGCTATATCAGAGAGGACCAAATATTTGTTGGGATCCTAATGCCTATCAAGACTTTGATAGTTAGATAGGTACATACACACATACAGACATACAGATGTAGATTCTTTTAACTAAAGATTTTTAATAGAATGCTATATAAGACAAATGAAACAAATAATTTAAGCAGAAATATGTAATAGAACATTTATACTCACCTAGACAAGGGACTGCTGACAAATGCTTCACATCTACTAATCCATTCAACTCTCAGAACATCCGTATTATTATTATCCCCATTTCACAGATGAGGTAACTGAGGCACTGAGTCAAAGCAACTTGCCCCTGTCATTCTCTTAAAAGTGGTAGAAGCAGAATTCAGATCAAAGCAACCTGGCTGTAGCGTCTGGGCTGTTACCCACCATGCTGTGCTATCTCAAAAAGTAAATCGTGACTTCATAAAGTCTGTGTATTCCTTTATTAATGTGCATATTTACATATGGACACAACATACACTTATTGGCACTCAAAGGCACAAGGAATGTGATTAACTTCTTCTCAACACAAACACCTGCTTGCACTTATGCATTCAGCTTATCCACATATTGAACAGCTTGTGAGTCCCTAGGCCATGTGCTAGTATCCTGGGGGTATGACAATTATTTACATGCAGTGGCCATCTCCAAGTAGCTCACAGCCTACAGGGGAGTCAAACAGGCAAATAGATGGAAGGTTAGAGGCTGACACAGAGCTTCAGAGCTAAAAGGCTCCCCATACACCCTGCTGCCTTTTCCCATCTGCCTATTTCCCTTCCCTCAACACATGCAGCCTTCCTGGAAAGCCACACACTTATTCTCATGAGGTTGCCATCAGTGGAACATGTGGAGGGCTCCATTTGGGAGTTGCCTTCAAAACCATTTTATAAGCTGCCCAAGAAAGTGAATCTTGTTTCTTGATAATTACATGTAACACACACCCCTTTCTGAGGAAGGAGGCAGGAATGACATCACAGAACCCAGAGACCAACAAATGACAGAAAATTCTCCTGTTGGATCCAACCCACTCCATCTGGCCCTTGCCCTCCCTCCCTCTCTCCCTGCACACAGGTCCCCTGTGCAGAGCCGTTTCCCCGGATGCTGACTTGGCAAGCTCGTCACTTTATGAATATGACCCTCAGAGGGGAGAGCCCCTCTCAGCAGCCCCCGAACTATGTTATCACCATTATTAAGGAGCTTAAAGAGGAGCAGGGAGGATGAGACACCACTGGAATTGCGGTCTGAGTGTGATTGATGTGTTCCTATTAGCGCTCCAGTGTTATCTCTCTGGATGGCAAGAACAGCCAGTGGCTTGTAACACAACAGATTACCTGAGTTCTCAGCCTTAGAAGGATGTTTAAATAAAATATAGTCCCTCTTACCAAGAGGCTCATTTTCTCTACGAAGCTTCCAGACTATTTCATGTCAGCTCTGATTCGCTGCGACTCTCCTCAGTAAACATGTCTTATCATTAATAATTCCTTACAAGCTCAGTCTCCAAGAGTCCTCTCTCTCCCGCTCTCTCTCCTTCTCCCTCTCCCTCTTCCTCTCCCTCTCCCTCTCTTTTTCTCTAGGTGGCTGGACTCAGACACATCACACTCCAGTTTGGGTTCCAAGTTGCTTCTTTGGATTTTCACCTGCCTTGCCAAAAATGATTGATTACACCAGGCCAACTGGGTGTCCGGCAGTACCCAACAAATGACTTTGGCCCCTAACAGCAGGCCTTGGCCAGATAGAAATCAATATTTCACCATTAAAATCTATCAAAGAAGAGTTAAGGCACCATCTGTCCCTGCCGCCTCTCTATGGTGTGTGAACATTAAATCCGACACTTGTACTACATGAGTAATCAATATATAGTGGTTCACAGATCATTTGTGGTCCCCTTTTAGCAGTGATGGATGTCTGGAATCGTTGTGATTCATTTTGTCAGACCATTAAACAAGATTCTGTCCAGTTCCTTCCTGATTTCATTTAGAGGATCATTCTTCACAGTTCATAAGAGGGAAACGGTTTTACCAATCTGCTTCTATTTCAATAAGTCACTTTATAGAGATTTTGTGTCCTCCAGACTGTAAAAATTCTGGAGAGATAGTACAAACAGACCTCTAAAACTATTCACTGCATGACATATGCATAAAGTGTGAAGAGAGGAATGTAAATATGTTTACCTCTTTATCTGCAAATGTTGGTTTTAACCCCCTCCTGCCTGGAGAGCTGGTCAATGGGCAGTCCAAGGATCCTGGCTCCTATAGCAGAGGAGGATGAAGCTTGGTGATGGGGCTGGTTGGGAGATCCCCTGACCCCTCCAGGGCATGGTTTAAAGCAAATGGGAATGGCTTTTCCCAAGGCTGCATTTCAGAGACTTTGATTTCTACAGTCAAGAAAATCTTGTCTGTCACCTAAATGATGGGAAAATGCCTCTTTGAACTCCAGTCTGGCATGCAGATGCAAAAGGGAAGACTCTGAGGATGCCCATGAGGGCAGAGGCATGACAAACATGCAATGTAGTGGTGACCATTTGCAGAGCATCTGCCTGTCAGTCATTATGTGCACGATTCTCAGTTTCAGCAATTTGTGAGATAGGTGCTATTGTCCCCACTTTCCAGGAAGGAAACTAAGGCTCAGAGAAGTTATGTTCTGTGCCTAAGATTACTCTAGCCAGGAATGTGAGTGGGAACCCAACTGTTCTTGTCTGGTGACAATACCCACGTGACCTGTGGACAGTGCTCTGCAGATAATTTTATTTCTGCTCAAGTGAATTAACTTCAACGTTCCTAGTGTTCCAAAATGCATCAACCAGTTGGAGTCATACCAGGAAATAAATTCTTATTTTATTGCTTGTTATGATTTTGAGTAAGTGTACAGCAAGTTCACTAAGCAATATGCACTTCATAACCAAGCAATGAATTTTAAACTTTTCTGGTTTTGGATTATTGGTTAATTATGTCACTATTACTGTTGATAGTGTAGACAAATAGATGTTGATTTAAATTTTGGCATAAATAATACATATGCAAACATATACACATATATAATGAATGCATCATTATAATATATTACATAATAAATATGCAGAACTCAAAAAGCCTTAATGATCATTTCACATATCCTTTTTTTCTTCCCTTTTAAAGTAAAACAACTGAGACTCAGAAAAATAAAAGCTGGCCGTGGGACAAGACCCTTGTTTTCTGGCTTCCAGGTCAAAATACTGTATCGAAACGTTAGAAATAATAGTGTTACTCAATTATGATTTGGGCTTGAGTATATATTTGTTGAAGAGATCATTGGAATAGAGTTGTACTCATTTTGACTTCGGGGCTTGAGGGAAATATTTGTTGAGGGGACAATTGGGAGAGAGTAGTACTCACTTTGCCTTTGAGCAGAACTGGAAAATAAGGATACATTCTTATATCCACTCCAGTTCACTAACCACTAGGCAATCCTGTCCAAGGCTGAGCATTTCTGTAGGCAATGTAAAGTAGGGTGTGCCATTTCAGACCCAAGGGTCACATGAATAGAGTCAGGCTGGATAGCAGTACCCGGGGTAAACCAGGCCAGGACACTTGGGAGGCATATGGCAAGGCTTCAGAAACATTAGGCAAAAAAATCCATCTGTGTTACTATTAACTGTGCCACCACAGACAAGTCACTTGACCTTTCTGAGCATTTGCTTCCTCATCTGTGAGGTTGAAGCTAAGTGCACCTACCTCCCAGGGCAATTGCGAAGATGACGTGAGACAATGTAAGATGACCACAGGTGCAAGCACCCCACAGGTCAGTGCCCTTTTATCCCTTTCCTCTTCCCTTTCTTCCTCCCTGACTTTATCACAAATGTGTATTATACCATATATCAGTCTCTAATAAGAATCTGGAATGGGATCTATCATATTTAAATTTATCTAAGGTGTTCTTGATTCTAGAAACATGAAGTCTAGAAATTAAAAAGAGATGAAAGATCTTTGGTCCAAACATTGACAGCAGGAATTACTTTCATCACCTGCCTGATAGGTCAGATCAACCATCGGGATCTCAAAATGTCTCAGGAGGTCTGCCTCATGGCTGGACAGTCCTCTAATGATAGATTTCCTGCTAAGTTTGATACCATATACATTCTACCCATTAGTCCCAGCCATAATTCCAATCCATAACCACCTCGTGTTCCGTATAATAATTCAATAGAATGAAAAGAAATGTTCCCTTTAATTTGTGTTAAAAACCTTCCTGAAGCATTTTCATTATTGGATTAGAATCCGAGACATCAGAGACTGTGACCAAGCTGGCTTCATGCACACCTTTCGGTGTTAACCATGAGCACAGCCCATCTCACATGGAGTGAGGTGATGAGTTTTCTGCTTTGTTTTTGTTCTTTTCTTTTTCTTTTATGAATGTCTCCTTGGTCTTTGCTGCTGTCTGGGTTTTCCTGGTCTATACGTTTATTTTTGAGCATGAAACCTAGAACTGCACAGAGCACTGTATTTCCATTGTATGCCTCAGGTTCCATTCATCCATTTCTCCTTTTCTTTTCCTTCTTTGTGTTTGATATCCATTTCCCTCTCTGTATCCATCTTTCCATCCAGCCATCCTCCCATCCTTCCATCTCAAATATTCCAATCAGAGCAGGAATGCCAGTCTATACTGAGGGTCTAGAAGATGCCCCTGAGGATAGAATGAAGTAAAGCCCAGCCTAAGAGCGCTGTTGGCTTCAGCAGCTGTTGAGATAGCTGTTGCCACCTTCAGGAATGTTCTACACATCAGCATAAGCCCCAAATCACAGGGTCTATCCATGCCAGGACCTCAGGGTTGCCATGGTCTCTCAACTGTTCCTGGTATTCACATACTGTACAATCACAGAGTTAAATTCCACGATTGTATCCTGGGCATTCCTAAGAAAGCCACATTGAGCTCTCATGGTTGTTCTCCAGTTCCTACCCAGTTCTGTGATTTACTTGCGTGGCACCAAGGTTCATCCTGTGGGCTTCACTCAGGTCCCATGCCTCCAAATCCCACTTCTTGCTAATAGGTCATGTCACAGTATTAGTTCCTTGAAATGCCAATTTTTGCTGCCAGGACTGCACATCTCTAAATCCAATGCCTTTGGCAAAACTTGGGCACATACACATTCCTTCTTATAAGTGGGGACTTATTAAGAAGAAGGATCTCTGTGCATGTTCTTCTCAACAGTAAGGTCTGTGCATGGATCTTGGCTCAATTGCACAAATGCACCCTTGACCAGGAGAGGCTGGAGCCAAATCCAATCAGAGGCCAAGTGAGACCCATCCACCTGTCTGCCACTTGCCTGTTCCATCAGATATGCACGGGCAGGGGAGCACACAACCACCCCACCATGGTAAATCAACCATATGCAGCCTGAGGTCAGAAACTACCGTCATTCTTCTCATCTCATCTGATCAGATCAACACAGAACTATTTCTGATGGAATAGGGAAAATATTCTTAAGATTTCTTAGAATTTCAGACATTCTTTTACTTTTTGTCCCAAAGTAAAACAATATGTACCTTTAAGAGTTTTTTTCAGAGCTAACGTTGGCTCATCTTGCTGTATCTAGAGTCTGTTCTGGAGATTTAACATTTTTGCTTCTTCATAAGCCATTCAGCTTTCTAATAATAGTACTTTTACCTCCACGCCTACCATGTGCCGGCATCCTATTGGTTATTTTGTAAAAATATTTCACTTATTTTTTATAGAAGCCCTCTGTAAGAAAGGTTTTCAGATGAGAAACTGAGGCCATAAGAGCTTTAATAATGCATATAGCGTCACACAGCTAACAAGGACAGAAGCAGGGTCAAAGCTTGGTCAGACTCAGTGCCCAGCACACTTTTGTCAGAAGGAAAATAGTTTCATAATTACTAATATAATATATTAGTAATTATATTAGTATATTACAGACGGAAGGGAACAGTATGCAAGAGGGACACAAGACTTCAATTTCCCCCTTCTACTGAGAGCCACCTCTTTCTGTCTACATGTTCCGTTGCCAGGCGAGGATTTGGGAGCCATGTGAAATCAACCACTCAATGGTGAGGAAGGAGGGAGGGCGGCTGGACCAGGTCTTGAAGGCTGCACAAGGACAGCCTTGTGCAACAGGGTGTGCTCATGGGCAGGCTGCTTAGATCATCAGAAACTGGTGACTCCTGACCCTAAGGAAAGGGCTGCAGAGTGCCAGTACACAGCCAGCGGCTATCAATTGAGGTTAGGGCATGAGATCTCCTTGGGGACACTCAGAAATGTGCCTGTTCAAGATGCCACTGATGCCCTAAAGACTGAGTCCAACTTTCTCATTCTACAGATGAAGAAAGATTTGAATTAATTTCCCAAAAGAGGCCTAGAGAGAAGTTTTTTCTGTTCAGTGGTGTCTGTGCAAATTAAGCTTCCCCAGGGGGGAAAAAAAAACTTGTGTAGATTGCTGCTTCCCCTAAACCCATCAGCATAGCCATAATCCCTAGAAATGGAAAAGGAAATGCTATTCATTGAATATCCTGCATTAAATGCAATACTTAACACAGATTGCTCATTTCCCCCAGAAAGTGGGGAATCCTGTGTTAGGTGGTATTGGAGGTAGGGAAACTGATGTTCAGAGTGGTTAATAAAGCTGACCAAGGACACACAACTCATCTGTGACAGAGGCAAGATTCCAACTCCGCTCTCCCAGGCAACAAAGCACACGTTCCATCCATGGAGGCATATGAGAGCAGCCAGCACTCACTCAGCACCCCAAATGACACCTCAGATCTTCTGGAGACTTCACCAAACAAGAGCAAAGTTGGAGGCAAAATTCTCTTAGGGCCTCCCCTCCTCATGTGAAGCCCTCAACTTCATCCATCGCCACCAGACTTAGCCAACAGAAACTAGTAATGGGTTTCCATTGCCACAAGATTTTGCTTTTGAGATGAGTACCTAAATAGTTTGAGCATCCCAAATCCAAAATACTCCAAAATCTGAAACTTTTTGA